CTGATTTTCAGACAGTTCTGATAAATTATTAAGATGTGTGAATACAATGGTTTTTTACTGTCTAGCCTGCTGGGTCATTCAGCACCTTTGACTTAAGTTTGATTTCATGTGCACACAGAAATAATAAAATCTCACGCTGCAAAATATTGCTTAGCTGGCAGGAAAACTTGTATGTGTCTTGTTAGCCTATTTGTTAGCTATAGTGCAAGACCTTCCATGAGCAGCAAGCCACACCATTGAAGTGAATGTAAACCAGGGCTGCACAAATCATAAGAGCCAGGTTGCCAATGCTCATTAATTACAGCTGACTTCCAACTTTTAAGGTTTTCTCTAGTTGTTGTAAATGGATCTGACTCCTAAAAAAAATCCTGCTGGCTCCTGGATTGGACAAACAGGCTCCTCAATTCCATATTGATTTGTCCACTCCTGAATGTTTAGTTTACTAAAGCTCTATGAGGGTGATTCAAAAAAGCCTTTTGCAGCATTTTTATGTCATCATGACCATATTAGAAAGTCATGCACCAAATTCATAAAATCCGTGCATAGTTTACCACTATTTTAGATTACATGCAACAAATGTAGGTGTTTCTTATGTGCGACACATTCTGGCACTATGGGTGCAGCAAATTAATTGAGAAAATGCCGCCACATTGGTGATAAAGAAGACCTCCTTTGTGTTGGAATAAATTGTGTCGCACCTGTAAGTATTGTGTCATTGTGTCTGGCAATTCTGTAAACGATTCATATACACCTTACCGACCATCACATGCAAATGTTGCGCCATTTGTTGAAGGGACTGGAGACAGATTTTGAATGCTTTATGAATTCCAGGGTGTGTGTCTTAAATGCCCAATTCTGTTAGATTTGTCGGATGCTTGCCCTAAATTAATTCCACTCCAATTATTTTATATATAGTCCAAAACCACCAACTTCTCAGATCTAAAAGGTAGGCATATTTCACTTTTTGGACACTCACTTGGACCCAAAGGTGCCAACCACAACAGCCAACCATCTACTGTATATAACAGCTTTGAATACACTGAATCGATAGAAGAAAGATAAGAGGAAGCATTATATAAGTAACGGAAATGTCAGTCTACAGGAATTGCTTACGCAGAGAAACTTTGCCTTCTTTTTTTTTTTTGTCCTAAATTAGCTTTCCTTGTTTTCTGTTTCAAGGTCAGGTTTAATCTACTCAGCTGAAGCCATGGTTATTTTTACTTTGGTCAGTTGTATGTGAATTTTGCTTTTCATCGGTAGTGAGCTGCCATTTAATTGGTGGTGCTTTGCACTGGGCCACATGTCAGCTCAGCTGGCCTAACATTAGTCACTAGTTCCATGTGGAGTCATGCATGTGTGATGGGAACAGAAGAGAGATGTGTACACTTCATAATAGCACACATAAGGATGCAGTCACTGCTGCCCTGCTGGGAATCAGGATGATTACTGCTGAAGCATGTCCTGCTTTGTGTGACGCCCATTACATTCTCAGGCGTCTCTTGGCCCTGCTGCGGACCTAAGCCCATCTCTGCCTGACTAGAATAGTGCTCTGTTCCTCAGGTCTGTGCAAATGGCACCAAGTCACCACGGCAGGGACTGAAAATCCATACTAATAGAATCCATCCTGTCATCTGTAGCACCGTGAAGCAGCTCTTATGCAAATTGTGTACTGTATTTCTAATGTATAACGTGTACCTGCACCGTGAAAATAGCGCCTTTTTCCCGACTGGTTAACATCCGTAATGATTTTTTTTCAAGGCTGAATAATTTTATGACATATGCCGCCGAATGTGTATTTGTCAGGGATGAAAATTTCCACTACTGCAACTAATAAATTGGGGTTTATAATGTACGAGCGTAGATCCAGAACAAGGGTTGCCAAGCATTTTATGTGCTGCGTTATGTTCTTTACAACCCTAGTCTGCATTATGGTCAAGCAAGAAATTATGCATTTTTTTATATTATTATGTACATGACCTCAATTACATATGTTTTATTTGTAATAATATACTTAATCTTTAGGCAGCGCTAAGTTAATTAAAAGTGTGTTATATTTATAATGGTTCTGGAGCTGATTCTACCCTGTGGTAAATCATCATAATTCATTTAGATTGCTAGTATTTCACTGCACTTCCTTTTTATTTTCTTTAGAGTATAAGGACCTGTATAATTAGCGCAGAGGATGTTTACAGTCTGTAGCAATCCATTCTTATCAGATCGCTTTTCTTCAGTAAAGTGCAGTTAGGACTGATGACAGATTATCGTCGATTGGTTGCCATGGGTTACAGTGCTTTACGTGTTAATCTAAGGTAAAACTAAGCTCTGGACAAAAAGCCAAATACGCAGTTAAAATGCAAATATAGGGGCTGCTTTACCTGGGATATATATTTCTATTAAAGTTGTACTAAATGCTAATCCTTTTTTACCTTAATGCATTCTATGCATTAAGGTAAAAAAAACGCCCTGCTACATGCAATTTTAATTTTCTTGTAAAGCTCATTAAATAATTGCAATATACAATGCTGATTTAAAAGAAAAAAAAGAAGAAAAACAAGAGTCTAATGTCACTTTAAGTTCTGAGTTCTGCACAGCCCCATACACCAGGAACAGGTTGGTGACCTGCATTTACTCTACGGCAGTTAAGCAATAGAGCTAGGTCACTTTCCTTCCCCCAAGTTGTAATTGGATAGGAAAGGAGCAGCAGCTGACTGATAGGTCATCACACTGCTCTCTCCTCCTGTTAGCATGTTTTTCTTAGCAGCACATGTGTTTGTAGCATATCTGAATGCCCCCCAAGCATTGGCCTTCCTGCTTTACCTCAGTGTTGATATTTAGGGGATAACAAGAGTCAAATGATGTCAAATTCTGCTACTTACAACAGCTGTAATTCAGATATGTTTGATAAATAACTGCATTCATTTGCGGGTGTTTTTTTTTTAATCCGCCTGATGTTCAGTTTTATGCCCATTAATATACAGTATTTCTTAAACCAGAAACAAGCATGTTTTGTTGTAACCATTTCCCTGTAAGAGGTCTGACAGAAGGCCTCTTCGGGCCTATTGTATGAAATCCTTTTTAAAATATTTCAATAGTTTATTGATTTTATATAAAAAGTTCAACCTCCCGTTCACCTGCACAGTTGTGAGTCCTTTGTTTTCATGCTAGATGCCCAGAAATGTATTTGCTTCAGTTTTGACCAACTTTATAACATTTGTATGCTACATTCAGTGCTTAAAACAGACCTGCTTTGTTTATTTGCTTTCTCCTCCATACAACACATACTCATACCACTGTTAATGTGAAATGAAACAAAAACAAAACATGCCTGTGTCGGCAGAGGCAGTGGGGATACAGACCAGTGCCCAGCGGGAAGGAGAGAAGGTTTCAGGAGGCTGAGTGGGCCGAGCTCTCCTCCGGCACTGCCCCGCTCAACTCGGCTCCTGTGACAGGCGGAGAGTCAGGAGGGAGATCAGGAAGCAGTTAGCTGTCAGGAGGATGAGCTCTCCTCCCGCACTGTCCCGTTTAGCCTCCTGTGACAGACGAGTCAGGATGGAGAGCGGCTTTACAGGCACTCAGTGATTAGCTGATCGCTAAGTGTTTGTAAATAACTGGGGACATAATAAGCTTATGCTTGCTCTACATCACTTTCTGTTCATTCATGATCGTGGACATAGTAACTCATACAATATTCACAGGTTATGAATGGGCAGGAGCAATCAGTATAGAGCCTTCCTGTTCATTCGTAACAGGGGCTGCAGAAAAGGAAATTGAGGACTCTGTGTCCTCAATCTCTTTTTTTCTATTCTAAAAGGGATATATATGTATATGTGTGTGTGTATATATGTGTATATATATATATATATATATACACACACACACATCTTCCCCAAAGGCTAGAAAACCTTTTTCTACTACTAACCGGAGTCCTTCGCAGGTCCTATATATATCAAGACAAGATGTTTAGATGGGCCATGAGAACTTACAATCTAAAGGGAGGGCAAGTAATACAAGAGGTGGTAGCTGTGTGAGGATGAATTGTTTGAGATAGTTCAGTGGTTGGGCTGAGGCGGGATAAGACTCATCTTTTCAGGGATCACCTAAAGGCAGATGGAGTAGGAGCTAGCAGGACAGTTTTTTTTAACAGTATTTTGCTTTCTACATCAGCATTTTTCAAACACATGAATCTGAAATCTGTATGCTGCAAGGGACTGTGTTTGCCTTGCTTTGCTCACAGCCTGAACTGATCACAGTAGGGAAAAAATGCATAGCAGGTCACATGAAACCTATGGTCTAACAACCCATAGCGATCGCTGTAGATGGAAATCTGTAGATTTGTGATTAAAGTACGCTTTAAACACTTGGCAGAAAAACAAAGGCCATTTACATGAACCCTACATAGACTCACGCCAGTAATCTTCTTGTTTTGCATTCATATCCTCGCTTAGAGTTGTAGAGGAGTTCTTAAAATTCGTTCTTGTGAATTTTTGAGAGATGGGCTGACAAACTTCTACAGTGCAATGTTTTGCTGCAGCCACACCGGAACAGGTGGCTAGAACAAGGGGGCCCTTGCCTCTCCCCACTTCACCATTCAGACTGCTGCAAAGATTTGGAAAGATGCCCAGCAGTGAGTGTTAAGTTTTCTTGGAACCTGTTTTGTGAGACACCCACTGAACAGACCTTATTCTTAAATAATTAAAGATCGGTGGAAAAAAATAGAAGTTTGATCTGTATGATACATACACTTAGACACATGTTGTGATAAGGTGAACTTCTCCCTGCAGATTATTGTATGACATCTCGGTTTAGGGTAGTTGTCCTACTATGCAGAGAGGTTGGAATAATTATGTACATTTTTAATATATGCATTTTTATTGTGACAATATCAAAACTTATTCTTTCTATTTTTCTCTTTTGTTTTTTTCCTACTTGTCACCCTTTCCTCCCACTTTCTGTCTTATGTGCTCCCTGTGTCCACATCCCTTCTTTACCATATGTCCCAGTAGAGCGCCAGAACCTGGAAACAGAAAATGTGACAGTGGTGGAAGGAGAAGTTGCAACGATCAGCTGTCGGGTCAAGAACAACGATGACTCCGTAATCCAGCTGCTTAATCCAAACAGACAGACCATCTACTTCCGAGACTTCAGGCGTAAGTTTCTCTAGTATGCATGAATATATTTGTATGTAGAACTCCCATCGGATGTACTGTGGGAACGTCCTTCCTTCATTTACTCGCTCTGTTGGTGCTGTATATATGCTGGAGCTTCGCCTTCAGTGTGAGCAATCAACTACTGAGAGTTATGGTGATATCAGTGGACCTGAACAGTAAAGGTTCTATGACAAAATGGTAATTATAACTCATATAGGTTAAAGTATATATAAATCCATTTTTTTTTTATAAATTTCAATTTTGAATAGAGTGTGAGTGTGTTAAAACTGACTTTCAGAGTCCTAATGCTGTCTAGGTAGTTTCATCTTATCTATTTGGTCTGTTGACTATTATCATCGGAACAGGAAGACAGGTGAAATCAAAAATGTACAGTTGCCACATAAGCAGTAGGTGAGAGAAATCTTCCAATGTTTACAAACACCTCTGTCTTAGTGGGAATGTATCCTCACCTAGGAGAGATTTTTTTCTCACTTTCTGGTGTGTCTCTGAGACAGAAGGTGAGAGGATTTCACCTAAAAAGGACATCAAAAGGGGTTTATACTGTCTCATACTCTACAATAGAAAAGAAAAAAGGATTGGTTATAGATATACCTTGTAATTGGTGGTGGTGCATAGTAACTTTTCAAAGCAGCTAGTTTCCGATTAGAAGAGATGTTTTATGTAAAGCCTTTAGCCTTGGCTTGCATATTGTTTTATATATATATTTTTTTTTTGAATGGAGTATTGCAGTATGCAATGATACCTTTCTTATTGGAATAACATAATATTTAAAAGAAAAGCTTTTGAGAGTAAACCTCTCTTCTTCAAGTCCGAAGCAATACTAATCAACATGATAGAGTTTAAAGTTTGACCTGAAGAAGAGAGGTTAACGTTCGAAAGCTGGTCTTTTAAATATTATGTTAGCCCAATAAGAAATGTATCATTGCATACTGCAATACTCAGTTTTTGGGGTTTTTTTTTTACATCTTGCGACTTACCCATTTACATCCATATATATATATATATATATTAAGCATGGAGCAATACAGAACACAATTGTATCCCATGTAATAAGAGGAGGCTTGTTCCTCTTTAGTTTAGACATAGGTAGCATCGGAGTGCTTTTCACTCTTGCACCCTCATAAGTGGAAACCCCCTGCTGTGTGGAATTCTTATCGCCCAACGCCCAGGACATGTAGTTTTGGGCGCCGGCCGAGTAGTTTTTTTTTACATTTAGCCCTGCTTCGGACAAGCAGAGCTAAATGTACAGTGGGAAGCCGCCGCTTGTTTTCATACAAGTGATCTGATCAGATCACTTGTATCAATTGGGCAGTGGTGATCCTGCGCTCCCGCACCCCCAGACATGGTTTTCAGGGTCCCCCGCTCTTCTGGGGGACCCAGGACCACGGCACAATGGCTGACCATAGAGAAGGTAGAGCAAAGCAAAGAACGTCTGTTCTTTGCTCTGTGTGGTCAATGAGACCATGGCGCTGTAATCACCTGTGTATGCTGTCAGGAACTGCCACCTGACCACGCCTACCAATGAGAAGCCCAATTTAGCACAGTCAAATACGGTTTTGATTAGGGATGCACCTGTACTAGTATCCATATCGGTGCTAATGCCGTGTATTTGGGCGAGCACTTGTACTCGCCCAAATGCTCCAATACTTTCCTCGATACCAGAACTTCCGGTCAGAGGAAGATTTCCTTTGACCGGCAGTGGTGTAGGGGAACATGGAGCCAGCTTGACGTGCAATCAGGAAGCCGGGCGGCAATTCATGAACCCGCCCCCTGTTTTCCTGATTGGCCGGGAAGCCAGCTCAATGCTGATTGGCTGGGAAGCCGGTTTCCCGTACAATCACAATCAAGCAGGCCAAACAACATGGAGCCGGCTTCCCTGGCAATCAGGAAGCTGGGGGGCATGTCATTACCTGCTGCCGGCTCCATGCCAGCATCAGTATTCGGTATCGGTGAGTACCGAAAACAAAATACTCAAAGTACTCAATTCCCGAAAAAATAGTATTGGTGCATCCCTAGTTTTGATTAAAACCTTTTTTTTTGTATTGGGACAAGTAGATTGTCATGAGGGACAAGTAGATTGGGCCCCCGCTTTAGCCCTTGGACAGGTAGTTTATTTTTAAATTTCAACACCCCTGGAGATACCTATGTATCATCACTTTGAACATTAGTTGGATTTTTTTTGTGATACCTTAACCCATAAGAGAATAGTACATAGAACAGTGATGTGCAATAAGCCATGGCACCCAGCCAGAAAGCGGCCTTCACACACTGGGCTGTACTTTGACATCTGGTTGCTACGGGCAACTGCACATCACTGCTCTTAGCACCATTCTGAAAATAAACCCTGAAGTGTTGTTTCATTACTTATTCTTGTCACATCTGCTACATCTTGTCAGCGTGTACATGTAATGTCACCAGAGTTATTTTGTATTACAAGACAGTCCTGGCAGTAAGACAGCAACAAACTGTTTTCGACTTAGATTGTTGAAAATACTAATCCCTCATTAGAAACTAAACTAATATGATGTGCGCAATTCTCCCAGTCGCCTGAATATTCATTGTCTGTAAGTAATATTTATCTTTCTTTTCTCTTCTAATTCCCTGTTCTAGTTTGTCATTCTCAGTAATGCTGTCCCCAGCATAACTGTGGAGTCTATTATCCAGTGTATCGCAGTAATGCGTTATTAGTTTCTTAGCTCTGTAGGATTGCTTATTACAGGTAATGTTGTGCTTTACTCAGCAGTACTTATTTTCTTGTCTCCTGCCCTGTTACTCTGCGATACTTAATTATGTATTCTCTGCGGTGCTGGAGAATTGTCCGCATCCATTTGGCTTGTGTATAAACTGTAAATGGTTGGTAAAAGCTCTAATGATGAGTCCCCGCTCCATCATTGAAGGTCACATGTAGTGATATTTGGTGATGATGTCATAATTATCTGCAGGAATCTGGACTGGTGTTTGCTGTGCACCACTGTGATTGATTCCTCCACCTGAAATGGGAACGCTAATGGCTAAAAATAGAGCAATGTTAAAAATGTTGCTGGGCTTTGTGTTCAGTGTTGTATTCATCCTGTCAGGTAGTTGATTGTGTAATGATGGGGCTACAGTATAATTAATAGGGATTGCTTAAAGTGGATCTACGGGCAAAAAAAAAAATACATAGATGTTGCAGTCTGTCACTAGATTTTGTTCCCCCGTTACCTGTTCCTTGTATCAGTAGATACATTTTTTTTAAATAACTTCTTTTGACAGGGTGGCAACACTATTCATTCTGTAGTAAGAATCACACAGAAGCATAGTCACCCATTGTCTTGGAAGGACGCATAATTTTAAATGGCCTTTAAAGCCCTATTAAACCCATTTTAATGTATTGGTGTAATACAGTCATGCTGCATATATAGTAACTCATATGCCTCTTTTCTCCTTTTTTAATCTGCTATATGTTGCAGCAGCATTAAAAAAAAAAAACCCTGGAGAGTCTTGCACTGTCATACTCAAGAAGCAGCTTGCTGTCCAGCATGACCCCTGAATTCAGCTGTGCTTAGGAAGAAGGAGCGACGTGTCGGACTGCAGGAGAGCCAACTATATGAAACTATATGAATAAACCTGTTCTAAAAAGCCCCTGTAAACTTGGTCTGCATGTAAAAATGGAGCAAATATAAATAAAGGCCTGTGAAATACTCGCATTACAGGTCTTAACCCCATATGGTTAATAGTATACAATATTTTAACAATAGTGGGCCTTTCAATAATTCCATCAGTAACCATGTAGTAAAAGTTACAGCGTAATAACAGCCAGGATGCCCCTAGATATGAGACGATCACATCCTATTTGGCCAGAAATATGGACCAGTAAATGATCTTGTCTATAGGTCCTACCTATACAGACACGTCTAATGCAACTGATCTCAGAGCAAGAGTTCAAAGGGATATTTATTTTTCAAACAGTTGCCCCTGCTGCTAGGTCTACACCAACATGTACACATAGCCTGTGCAATCATGCATATATGTGTGACATGTGTCCTTTACAAAGATTGTATACTGTCCTAATCCAGAGGCTGATCTAAACCTCTGCAGCCCAAGCAAAGCAGAACTAGATCAGATTTCAGGTAAAGCTGACTTTTGAGAGCAGACGTCAGATGAATTATGTAGATGCACAGTAGACACACATTGGTAAAAGGAAGATGTGCTGGCTGTGAAGCCGACTTCAGCTTTTCCTGTGCAGCAATGGAGCTCTCGGTGAGACTGATGAAACATAGGCCTATTGCCCATAACACCTAGCAAGATGTTCCCTTTCATGCTGTCACTCGCACAAGGATAATGAGTAATAGCTTTTGACTGGTTATTGCATGCAGTCATTTGACAATTCCAGAAATTTGACTCATCATATCAATTCATCTGTAAAGTTCCAAGCCAGTCAATTCATATATGTTCATCAAGATGTTTTTCTATTAAGGAGCAACTCCAGGCAACGACTAAACACAATCGGCTTATATTATCTACTACATACTGCCAGTAAACTGCAATCAGAAAATCTACTCTGTTTGCTTTCAACTCATACTAACACAAAGCAAAACCCTGTGTGGTTTAGGCTCTGGGGAAGTGGCTATTCTGTGGTCCATGTGCTAAAAGAGGCTTCTAGGGTAGTATATAGGTTTACCTTCTCTGGCACAGAGCCAGCATAACACATAAGTCTTTTTCTCTCATAGTCTAATCACATGGGTGTTTTGCCTTCTAGCAGATCCCAATAAAGCCCATCTAAACCCAACCATTTCAAAATTTCATGTAGTTGCCCTTTTAAAATGGCAGCTTTCGTTAAAATTAAATCTTGGTGATCCTTTTATGAATGTGCTTCTTCACACTGCCTGTTATCGAGGGCAGCTGTCTGCCATTTGTGCTTTTGCATTATCACCCTGCCACATGCGCCTCTGGTGGAGGCTACAACATGCAGCTGTGCTGGCCCACCATTGTCAACAGTA